AACGTATTACAATGATCAAGAGTGCGATCAAAGCATTCGAGCTCATAACAGATGATGAAGTGCGCAGTTGCTTCCTTAATGCCATACCAAAGCCGTAGTGCAAAGAGTGTTGGGCTGGCGTCTACCGCCACAAGTGAAAATTTCAGTTTTTGTGATTATGTTTTCCAATCATTTCCAATCGAAAGGTCCCACGAAGACGGAGATTTTGACATCGATTTGAGCGAAAACGGAGCAATATTGACTTAGTAATCGTTAAAATACCATTTGGAGCATGTATACTGGTTTTTCAAATTTAATTGTGCAAACGCATACTACGTAGTACCATATATTAATAGTATATCTTATTGAAGTTATCCTGATTGGTCAGAATATGTTTCGTATTTCGAACTACGCTATCCAATCATATCGTGAAATTTGCACTACACACAGAACTTCGATGAGCCTTAAATTCCCTCGTCGACTGTATACTAACAGTAATACAAGTTGCTTTGGTTTGGTATGATATAGTTCGTGAGTTTTCAGTCATTCACGTCAGGTTTTCATCAGTAACTCAGTCACTTCGGAATTTACACTCTTTTAACTAAAGTAGTGTAGGTACAGTATCACTAATAATTTGCAAGGCTGTTGCGTTTTATTGTTAGTGCATCGACTGTTACAAATAATGTAACTTTCGAAGTGAGTGGATCTCTGTTAAATTGTGAAGTACTGTAATGGTTTAAAGATCTATTGTCTCAAATATGACTTGAAGTTGGTCATACAGTAATGGAATGGGTTGCTTGTTTATGATCAACGTTCTTAGCTACTACTCCGAGTAGTATCTAAGAAAGTACATGACATTGACATCGAATTTTACTCACACGGTTTCTCTACGAGCGGTGTATGAATGTAGATAGGTATTGCTAACTTAGTTGCAGGCTATACCCGGTAGTTCAAAGCGGGAGCGGCACGGCCATATGGCCTACCTGCCGCAAGAGGAATAGATAGATCATTCGGTGAAATGAGAGGCTTAGATCCGCGCTCTCGTATGGCCGCACTTGCGCAGACGGCCTCCCGGGGGCGCTCGGGGCCTTAATCACTGCCAGTGAAGTAAGTCAGAGTAACAATTCACTTGCGGTTGAGGAAAAAAGGAACACTTCACTGTCAAAAGGTATTGATCTCAGGACGTCAGGGTTACGAACCCAACGCACTGACCACTAGCTCAGCGTCCATTATGATATGGATTCGATTTTTTGCTATCTAAAACCTCTGTTACTCTCACAACGAATCTACGCTGGGGATACTACGCCTTGGTTGTGGGCGCCGCGGCGTACGTACGACGGCGCTCGTCTACCCTTGTACATCAGCCACACGGAAATCAGAGCCAGCCACACCAGCGCCAACGGCCACAGGACTTCGTGCGGTCTGCTCCATACACTAAGTCGGTGCTGCATCGTACGCACCAACAGCGACGTCTCTGCGATGGGTTTCGTCATCGTATCCAACTTCTGCTGCACACGAAGCAACAGTTCCTTCTCCATTCGACGCCACGTCTCATTCACCACCGCCCTGGGTTTCGTCATCGTATCCAGCTTCTGCTGCACACGAAGCAACAGTTCCTTCTCCATTCGACGCCACGTCTCATTCACCACCGCCCTATTATCTACTCGAGCATTGTTTTCACTCAACCGACCATCACGCATGACCCAGCCAGGCAAAAACTCTTCGATGATTTCTGGCACGGCGTACGGCACCCAGCGGAGTTGCTCACATCGAAACTCATCGAGTTTGGAATCGACGTTGGAAATGCCTGAAAACTTGAGAAATTGCTCGATAGACCGCACTTTGCCGCCGTGGTACTTGTCTATTTCTTGGGCGTCGACGGGGCCGTCAAAGGGCAACGTCAGCACCATGCGCAGTCGATTGTACGCGAGCTGTTCTTCCTTGTCATGCTGCTCTTTCGTCATAACTTGGGTCACGTTGTCCCAGAACCGCTTCATCTTGCCATTGTTATTCGACCAGTTGTGAAACACCACATGCCCATGTCTAGATGGCGAGTACAGGTCGTAGCCGCGGGTCCACAGCTGCATGCTGCGGAGGTATTCCTCACCCCAGAACACCCAGTTCATGTGCTTGTCATTGGGGGCGCGGCGCTCGGCATGGCACTTGCTGAAGGACAAGCAGCCCCCCCACAAAGGGGTCATTTGGGGGGTTTCGCTGTCGTCGATCATGGTCATGCCTGCAATGATAGGCACGTCGAAGGCAGACTTCCGGTCCAGGTACTTGCACAGGTGGGAGCTGTAGTGGCTTTGGTGGGTCAGATCAGGGCCCATTAAGGCGTAGCCCATGGGGTACGTGGTCAAGACGGCCATCTCGTTCTCTGTGCGCAGCCACTCGTCGACGATTTCCACGTCCCAGTTGGGCAGGAACTGGCTGTGCGCGTCAATGTTGAGGCAAAACTCCTCGTTTTCAATCAGCTGCTGTTGCTGCCATCTCGCCAGCGTCGGGCCCTTCGATGCCCGGGAGTCTCGGGCGTCGATTCGAACTTGGGATTTGAATTTGCACTCGTTCCAGTCGGACGCTTCGGCCAGCTTGCAGTACTCGTCGAGGCAGGTCGTGTCGTCGTCTTGGGTTTGATCGACGACACCAATGGTGACCCGCTCCGGGTGCTTGGCTCGGGAGAACGCCGTGAACAACGTGAAGCCACAGCGACGAATGTCGCGGTAGTTAGAGATGCCGATGAAGATGTCGTGGTCTTTGGAGATGCGTGGAGGTGGCGGGCGGAGATGCGCGTCGCGAGCGGCCAGTGGAATGTTCTGATGAACAGGGTCCAGGTATGCCCAAGGCACGGTCTTGTTCCAGTCTTGGCGGATGCGCTGTAATCTGTCTTTGTCTGGCATGTGAGTACAAGCGATTTAAAGAATACTCGCAGTTCGACCCGACCCGAAATGGCTTATTTTTATCCAATACGATAGATACTTTGAAGTATTTAGTTTTAGATCTGTTTCATGTGATGGTGGACGACAGACAGCCTTGCCAATGATCTGTCAAACGTACACGTTAAGCGATTGGCTCGTGCGACGCCCACTGTGGAAAGTTCCTTTGCAACAGCTCATTCCGCAGTCTTGGTTTCAAGTGGGCCACTAGCAGCGCTTCCAACTCATGCGGAAAGTGCACCGACGCCGTCACCAGGTGATCCACGACAGTATAGTATGCGCCGTCACTACGTCCTTGTCGGCAATGAGTTGCTGGATCATGGGGGGACCAAGTCCCCTTGGCGGAAGACGGCCATGGGATGTATCTCCGTCCAACACCTGCAAAGCCTTGCCCACCAATCCTAGATAGGTGTACTACTCTGGAAAGAAATATAAGGAAGTCTCTATAACGTTATGTAGATGAGTCGTTTTTTCAAAAATTGACTAAACTGAACGGATTTGATTCGAGTTGGCCAATCAAACCACAGTAAATCCAATGCGACAATCCGTTACTTTGAAGTACCGGTAAAAAAGGACAGCCGGAAAAGTGTTAGCACAATCTGATTATCACCCACTTCGAAAGTAGTACCTCTGCAAGGATTGATTCTACAAGTACAGTATTGTGCTTTCGAGTGAAATTTCGTGTTGTGGCGTGGTTTCTCGTTGGAATTTAAATCGATTTGATTGGCTACTTAAAAAGTGCTCAAAATGATTAGCCAATCAAATCCTTCTCAATGTAATTCAACCAATCAGATCGATTGTGGATCGGTTTGGTCGGCGCGATTCGATTGCACCCCTTCCCCAAATTTGTATCAAATCGACAATACTAGTACCGGTAATATTTTACCCCATACTTGAGTATTTAATTATCAGATTACGTTGCACCCAGGAGTGTTACTAATACTGAAGGATTATACTCTAGTACAGTAGTACAGTACACAACTTCGAAGTACTAGTACATACTAACTGTAATTAGTAAGATACAGTCCGCGCCACTACTGTCGAACAATTCCTACTGTTGTTCTGCAATCATTTTTACTAAGAGCCCTTGAAACCCCGGAACCCCTGGACCCCTTGCGCTTACATACAATGCTATTGCTGGGGTTACGTTGCACCACCAGAGCTGTGCTAGCGCTAACCACTGAGATGCATTTAACCCCTAGCTGAAATGAGTTGTTTTGAATTTACACTTGATTTGACTATGTGGCATAAATAACTTGGGTTTCGTATGCAAGGAGGCCCAAATGATTACGGAACAACAATACTCCTCTTGCAGGGAGGGAATTGCTGCTGTACTGTAGTATGTGACATCCATTATTTTGCGAATATGTTTGAGAAAATACACAATTGATACTCGGTGTAAACAAAACATACCAAAATATCCGACATGATTGGTCGCACATTTTGGCACTGGTCTCACAATTTGTCAGTTCATAATACCGTTTAGACGTGTGGGTTTAGGCAACGTTTTATATTAGAAATTGATTACAGTACATTTTTCGTCAAAATGTCGTTTTTATCCTGTGGCCGAATGCAACCTCGTAGGTGACACGATATTTTTAAATTGAAGTATTGCCTTGAGGGCTACGCAGTACGGAGGCAAAGATTCTCCATGTAAATCCATGTAAAGAAGATAATCATAGCGTACAACAACAACTATGCCTCACTACGTCGACATGACCACGCTCTGGTACAATAGTAGTACCACAGCGAAAACAAAAATGAAGTGTCTCAGGGCTCTTTATACGGATTCCGATACGGCACATGGCCGTCCGATTCGAATTACTGAAACAGTAACCTTGACGGTTAATTGAGTTTAGATTATCATTATTAAGACATTCCTCCGCGAGGGCCAATACTACACATTTTCCCGATCAAACTGGCAGTTTGTTCCAATCAAAGTGGTTCAAGTATAAAATGTACAATTTGGCAAGTCATGCCACGTGGACTTGTTCAAATCAATGTGATCTTTGTTCCAATCAAAGTGGTTATTACCCGCCTTTCATTCGACACTCAATAGTACACACACACACACACGCAGACTGCCATTTTTCAATTCACCCGCAACGCATGAGTACAGACGGCAAATGTTCGGCTCCGACTACAGAGGAGAAGAAACGAGTCATTGCAGCACAATCCGACGGTGCAAATTGGGGGGTCGTTGCCAAGCACAACGGCATCGCGCAGTCGACATCCTGACGTATCATCAAGACCGGACAGATCACCAACAAGCCAAGAGGTGGCGCAAGACCAAGCAGAACCAAAGTTACGCCTGGGATACTCGCTGCACTTGAGTGCTACTTGGACAAGAACTACCAGTACACCTTGACGGCCATGCGGCAGTTCCTTGCTCTGGACTTTCCTAGCACCCCACTGTCGAAGCCGTCATCTACTTGGTATGCTGTACACCGTCGAACAGGTGCAAATTGAGCCGTCGACATACAACAGCGAGGAAAACAAGTCAAAGCGCAAGGTGTTTGCTGCGGCTCTTGTCGAACATCAACGAAACAGAGACTTTACTATCTATTACGGCGAGACCAACTTCAATATTTACTGCCATCTGTCCGTTGGTCGATCGAAAAAAGGGACTCGTGCGAAGGTTGTGCTGCCGCCATTGAAAGGTCCAAACCTGCAAGTTGAGTATGCTGTTTCTGCCACGGTTGGCCTCGTTTGCTATCGTTTGCAGCGAGGTAGCATTAAAATGGACAAGAACGCATGGTTTGTCAAAGACGTTTATCGTGCGTCCAAAGCGTCGGCATCTTTTGCGGACAGTTTTGTTGGCAAAAAGATTGTGATTGTGTTGGACAACGCCCCATGCTTCGCATGACGACCTTGTTCTGCTTCGCCTAGGGCCGTATTCGCCAATGCTGAACCCAATCGAAAATTGTTTTAGCGCGTTGAAGGCGAAGATTAAGGGGTATCTCGCTGAACGCACAATTTTTTTTTTGATCGTCGGGACTTCAATTCCTACTTGGAAAGTCGTATGCGATTGCTTGAAGATGCTGCTACAGAATCCCTCCCTTGCATTACTCAATCCTTGGTGATCCTTGAAGCGATGTTTTGCCAGCGCAATATCGAGAAGGCACTCAACTTGGAAAATATGCACTACGGGAAATGGTGTGTGCCACTTTGATTGGAACAAAAACTTTGAATGGAACATTGTATGTTTTTTTAACAATTTTATTTGTTTCAAACGTTTTATATTTGTTATGACCACTTTGATTGAAAGTGATTGCCAGTTTGATCGGGAAAAGGTGTAGAACCTCAAGTTGTGGAGCTGCTTCGCCAATTGTAACGCGCCCGCTCGACCAGGGGCGGTGTGTAATCTTCGGTTTTTACTTTGCTCAACGCTTCATACCTCGTGCTTCGAAGTTCGGTCCTCGTCTTCTTACGCAGCCCTTGTTATCTGGATTCCCCAAGGGACGGATGGATAAATCCTTGCGGAAATACTAGTAATCCGGGGAAGCCGGGGAACCAACGACCTTTGAGTTAAAAAACCGATGCTCTGCCACTGAGGTATTCCCCCGATGCTCTGCCACTGAGGTATTCCCCCCCTCAAAGTAACCTTGACATTACCTTCGAAGTGCCAACAGCATTTGGAGGACCTTTTTTGTCCTACACCGTGGCAACATGAGTTATAGTACACGTTGAAATTCGATACGAACCTAGGCACCGTAGTGGCTGAGTTTGGCCAGCGACAGATCCGGACCATCGTGGCCCATGTTGCACTTGATGACGTTCTTGTGTGTAATGCCATACTCGGGCAGGGTGGCCTTAAACTCATGCACGCGCGCAGAATCCATGGTAGCAAGAAAGACCCACATGATAACAAATTCTACTTCCAAGTGTTGAGTAGTTTCATGGTCCGTTACATCACTTTATTGAATCGTACGCAGGAGTTTCATCCAAGAATAATACAACCAATCAAATGTACGCAAGTCGAACTGTGTCAAAGCATGCACATACCAGTATGTAGTAGTGTGGCATTAAGAACGTACTAGTACTTTAAGTAACTTCCAATTCACACAGCCATATTGTATTTGTAAACGTTTATTCTTCCGTGACACACTCATAGAAGTTTTGTCCAATCTCTACCTTAATTATAACAGGAATCATTTCGCATGCATAACTCCCCAGTAGGCCTGGGTTTGGCTTCATGTAACATATTCCAGAATTATAATTTGATAACGACAACACTGTATGCCGTTGACGTCACCTTCCAGCAGACAAGAAGAAGACGTATTTTCCACGAAGCACGGCCTCTATGGACACAAGGTTGAGGTGTCCGTTGCACCGAATGGCTTGGCAATTAACTCACGGATTGTGCTGTGGGCAGCACGTCGGTGTTCAAGGCCAACTTGGGCATTCACTCGACGCATCTGGAGAAGCAACCGAGCGACACCAACGTCAGCGACAACGAGTCAATGGTCCGTCCTTGTGGACAAGGGGTATCAAGGTATCCAAGAGTACGTCCGTGCCTTCACGCCGGTGAAGCGCCCACCGCACGGACAACTGACAATGGAGCAGGAGCGGGCCAATACTAAGTTGTCGCCAGATCGTGTGATTGTGGAGAACTTCTTCAGAAGGCTCAAGACGCTGTGGAGTCTGACAAGTACACTTGGAAGAAGGATGAGTACAACACGTACTTTCAGACGTGTGTGGCCCTCACCAATGTCCACATTCGGTTCAATCCTTTGCGGAACGTGGACGGTGAGGCCTACAATCAGTACAAGAACCGCTTGCTCTCGATTGGAAGCAAGTGCAAGACCAAGAACTCGTCCTCCAAGGCGAAGTATCGCGAGAATCGTAAGGCCCATATTCAGGCTGTGTTGGGTCGTGCAAACACTGGCTACACCAGCGAGGACTACGACATTGGATATGAAGAGGGAAATGATATCTTCGATTAACTTGAGCTCAATATGCATTTTTTCATCATGTATTATTTGTGTAAAAATTTTGATTTTGGGAAAAACTTTGGCACACCGCGGGAGTCTAACCCGGGGCCTAAATTTCGTCAAACCGACATGCTACGGGCCAAAGGCTTGGCTTATATTTTGCTCCATCGATAAAGTCATTTTGTACCTCCACAACTTAATTTCTTGCTCAGGTTTTGGCAATTATCAATCCGATGAAGTTTGTTCTTTAGAAGGATAGTGACTACCTTCACGATTTAATCGATCCTTTCATGAAGTGTACGAGGACAACAAGACAGTGAGTCACATGCAAAGTAAATGCGTACATAATGCATGTGATCAATCACTCGAGTTTGACCCATTCGTTGGTTCAGAGGTCTAATGGGAGAAGCTATGTTCGGAGTGGCAAAGGTCGTTGGTTCGAATCCCTTCGTAGATTTTCTTTTTTCTTGAAATCAAACTCCTTTTGCTGGCCGCACCACACATCAAGCAGCAATCCTAATTTCGGTAACGTGGCAGCCTTCGACAAGAACTAGTACTGTAGCAGCAAAAAACTGTTCCTACAGGAACCCATTTGATGTCTTGACTGTATACAGCAGTAAGATGTAGGTAAAAAATACCGTAAACGCAGATTAAGTAGACCTTGGGTCACCAATTCGCTTCAAATACCGTGGGGGTTGAGATGTATGAGGTGGAGTCGTTCACTTGCTGGTGAATGAGATCGTCCAGGGTATTACGTACATAGTGTAATCACTATTCACACCCTCATCTACTATGCTTCCCCTTATCTACTATGCTTCCCCTCAGCTAGTATGATCCCCCTCAACTACTGTACTATCCCCCCCTCAGCTTCAATGCTCCCCTCAGAAGTTATATAGCTTGCAAGATGAGCACAGAGTAAATAAACTGTCTGTTTCACCGCAGCTAACAGCAAGGGAGGTGGGGGATTCTCTATTACTGTCAATAATCAAAGCCAACAGCAAGCTATACGGTGCATGTACACCATGATAATAGCTTCAGACGAGTAGCGGTGTCGGGGTAATGTATGGACCACCATGTAATTGACTTATCACCACATTCGTGAGTTTGCTACATACTGTACCGGTAGAACATCTCAGCAACACGAACATCATCGTAGTGTACTTGTATTTCACATGTATACTAGTATCTACCCAGCCATGCCTACAATGCCTACACACGATGGACGCAACTAGTATACGTGTGTGATTGTAGTAGTACCAGTAAACAATGCGATACCTCAGGACAAGTGTACTGTGAGTGATCACATATCTGTTTATGTACTGTAGTGCCAACCAATATTTCAGCTAATGCAGTACTGTACTGTAAGTACATGTAGTGTCCTGCCTACTACTGCTAGTATTACTCATACAGTGCATGTACTGTATGAGTACTTCAGTCCTCGTGCTGCATTCAAACGACATGAAAACTCTAGCACGCTGTGCCGACTCTAGTACCAGTGCCACAGGATGCCTTCAACGGCAACAAGAGTGTATACCCTACGACGAGTAGTTCCAGGAGTACACTTGCTTCGAGGCTACCCGTAGTACCCTACATCTAACCACCGTACTGTAGAATTCGCTTTGGTACGTGGGAGAATGCACCCAAACCCCACGCACATCCATGCTAATACAGTGTACTGTACGAGTACCAGCACCTAAACCCACATTGCGCATAAGCAACTTGTACCACTACACGTGAGGCATCTACCTACAACCGAGCTGTCATAGTAGTACAGTACTATCATTACCGGTAGTATAATTCATGGCTTCGTTGCTTTGCGAGTCGACAACAAAGGGCCAAACAACGGTTTCGTGTTCAATGTTATAATTCGCAGTGAAATACTGTAAAGTTCAAACGCATATATCAGCTCCAACAGTGTCGTGGTTGATATATGTGTCGGCGTTGCTAATGCCCCGGGTTCAAATCCCGAAATCAACCGTACTTTTTCGTACTTGAACTTGCAATAACGTTAATGTAGAATCTGGCCAGTCCATGTGTGTGTTTTTTGTCCAATCAGAGTGTATGTGAAAAGCCCTCCAGCTCGTACATCTCATTTCATTATTTCCTCACGTTCGTGGGGCGGCTGCATTAGGAGGGTGTCGGAGGCATGAGGCCACACAGTGACAGCGCGACGACGTGAGCTCGGCGGCGTCGACAAGAGGTTAGCGATAGCACCACATGACGGTCTTTGTGTTGTATATACTATATACTTCGTCGTAAGGATACAACCTTGAGTTGCTTAACGGTGCATACACTATAGGTAATTGCGTTGTTAAGGTGTTTGCCATACACACACATGAGTAAAATGATGCAAGTGTTATACTAAGACTCGTTCATTTCACGGTGACTACATGTAATCTTGTCATCACTGTCGTTCAAAAGTTTCCTTGCATGTGATTCTCCACTGTTGGCTTAAAAATGCGGGATTATTGGTATAATTCTGAAGTGGTTGGGCATGGCACATGCGTAGTGGTGTAGTAGGTGCTGGCGTCGACCCCCTTGTGTGGTTCATTCGTGTGCGGGACTGCATGGTGGTTGCGTGGGCGTGGTGGTGGCGTCTGCCGTCGTTGAGGAATGAATCTTCAACGACGGCAGACGCCACCGCCATGTCAGCACCAACCACCAGCCACTACATTGACGAGTGTGGTGGTCGTCAATGTAGTGGTTGGTGGTTGGTGTTGGCGTCAATGTAGTGGTTGGTGGTTGGTGTTGGCGTCGATTCGTGTTAACTTACACTGAGAATTCAGTGCACATTAATTCTAATAGTACTATCAGTCCATAGTTGTACCACTAGTATATACTTTGTACCTTACTCGGAGTATTCTGACACAGCGTCCCAACCCATGTGTGTGACCAACCATACGGGTACCTGATGACACACCAGTGGCGTAAATAAACACACGTATATACTACCTTGGGATCATCCCCAAGGAATACTGGTGCTGGAAGCCCATGTGTTTTAATGTGGTTTTCGTGAAAGTTCATGTGTATTTCGTTATTTACTGTTAGTGTGTGATAAAAACGGGGTCTCGTTCTGTTGTCTGGTGTTCTCGATTAAGTGATCGATGACTACGGCTTAATGTTGATTCAGTTTGCGCTCATCTTCACCGCGACCATGACGTGTAGGCTGGACATTATCCTCAACGCTGCATGACTCGGCGGCCGCCTTGACGTTGGCGAGGTGAATTGACCACGCGAACAAATCAACGATCGCGAACCCAGCGTCGACAACATAAGCCTCCAATAGCTCCTTCAAAGCCGGGCAGTGCACAAGAAGGTAAGCCATGAGCACAACCAGGACAGACTAGGTCACGATACCCCAGATTTCCCAAGGCCATGGCAAGTCGAGAAGACTCAAGCTTGGACAGCGGTGATTTGGTCTTGTGTTTGGGCGTCTAGAGTGCTGTCACGTTCAACAGCTCGACTGCCTTGGTAGGACTCCACCCACTCAATGTTTTCGAGACGTTGTGGGTACTTCAAGGATGTTCAAAACGTAATTTAACGCCTTGTTTGTAGCGCTGACGTTCCACGCACCCCGGTCAAAGATCCTTCCAGCGGTTAGATGCTCCGATCCGTTTCCGTGGAGGTGTTGAGCACCTCCACACCGGAACGAATGAGAGGTAAACTACTCGTCGATGTCAGCCAACTTGAAGACACGATCCAGTATCCGATTCACATGGCAGTGCATGGTGGACGTAGGGGCAGCTTTGGTAACTGTTGGGTCGCTGTCTAACGATGAACCAGGATTGCCAAGCAGGTCCAATAGCGACGTTTCTGACCCAAGAGTCACGGGTGTTACCTTTGCTTGAGCCAATGAGGTCGCATGACGGTACAACGTGAGCCATCATAGCAAGTGTAATGGCAAGGAGCGGACAGGTGATCCAATCGTTGTCGGGGAACAACGACAACCCTTATTTTTCACTTGTCTTCTTTCCAATAAGCCTCCAAAAGAAAACCCCACCTACATCAATCGTGATGTTTTCCTTTCGCACTGAACTGCGATCGGACGCACGACCGAACAAGAACCGCAGTAGTTTGAGCAGGTAGGCGTCTACCTATTTGAGCTGGCTTGAACATGTGCGCCATCATTTGCTTTAAGTGGCTCTTTTTGCATGTGATCGCTTTCTTGATAATTTACGCTTGACTCAAACATTTTCCATGGTCCGCCACATCTTAAGGAGACGTGGTTCGATCAATGCTCGTTGTTGTGGGAATTGGTCCAAGATCCAATGCTTGGCCTGACGGTAGTACTTCCTCCGTTCCGTTAAGGTGGAGACATGTTGCTCGCAGTACCATTTCTCTGGCAAAAATAATTGAAATAGTCTCCAAATTGGCCAAAATGTAGCCAATTGCAAGCCGAACATACGACTGTTTTTAGATTTTTTTTATTGCATCATCTCACTTCAAAACCAATCGTCAAATTTTAGTGATACGCGTAGCCAATCATTAAACATACGTAACTTCGTCAATTCTTGTCCAATCGAGCTCACCTCAAGCGCAAACGACTGGTCTCGATGCGTAGATATGGCTAGCACCCCTCAGAACCAGAAAACAATTTCTGGGAGATAAGTTACGAAGATGTCACGTCCCACGACCAAACACGACGTACCCCACGACGACCGGGTCCGTTTGTATCACGAGCTGTTGGAGCACAAGGATGGCGGCTGCCTTCCCCATCGAAAGGCACACGAGCTGCAGCAGAAGTACGGCAGATCTAGACAAACCTTGTCTAAGATCTGGTGACGTGGACAGGAGACCAGGGCACTTACTGGTCTCGCTGACGTTTCCGTTCGGAAGAAAGGACGATCTGGCAGGCTACCTACACGCACGTTAGATGACTCAGAGGCAGCGATCAAGAACGTCCCACCGCACTTGCGTATGTCCCTCGCCATGTTGTCATCTACCAGCGGCATTCCGAAGACCTCGCTTTGGCGTCTCTTGAAATCGAAGAAACTAAAGCGACGGACGAGCCGCATCAAGCCCATGATGTCTGACACGGACAAGGAGGCCCGCGCCGTGTTCGCTCGTTCGTTTCTTCGCGAAGCAATGAACCAAATGCACTGGCACGACATGTTGGATCGTGTCCACATTGACGAGAAATGGTTCTATGTCACGTTGATCAACCGGCGGTACTACCTCTGGCACGACGAGCCCGTAGCTGTGCGCAAAGGATCGTCCAAAAGGCACATAGTCAAGGTCATGTTTTTGACTGCGGTTGCAAGGCCTCGCTACGACTGTGCAAAGAAGTCGACTTGGGACGGCAAGATCGGGATGTGGCCGTTCGTGACGAAGGCGCCAGCGCAGAGAACAAGCAAGAACCGTGTGCGAGGGACAATTGTGACAACACCAATGACTGTGACGAAGCCGATCTATCGACATTTCCTGTTGCAACATGTCATCCCCAGCATCAAGCTGCTGTGGCCCAGTCGACGCGACAATCCAATCTACATTCAGCAGGACAATGCCCGCCCGCACGTTGGAGTGGACGATCTCGCAGTGGCAGCTGCCGGTTGTTCTGATGGATGGCATATCCAACTGGTTGCACAGCCTGCGATGAGCCCAGACTTCAACGTCCTCGACCTGAGGTTTTTCAACTCTATTCAAGCGCTGCAGCATCGACAAGTCGTTACTGGTATTGACGATCTTATCCTATCCTGGCTGTTCATGGTGCGTTCGACGAATTCGATTTCCGTGTGCTCGACAAGACGTTTATGACCCTTCAAAAGGTTATGGAAGAGTCTTTGAAGATGGACGGGGACAACTCGTACAAATTGCCTCATTTGCACAAAGACAAGCTCGTAAGACGTGGACCAGTGAGCCCTCGCTTGGAATGTGACCCAGATTTAATCTGTGCCATTGAAGCCATGAAAAGCCGTAAAGACTTTGAGCGTAGAGTAGATAACCTATCGAGTGTGCTTGCGTCGTGTTCGATTGAGGGTTCGATCAATATGTCTAATATTGATCAATTCTGCACAATGGTTGATGATATGAGCACTGTCGCTGACGACTAAGAATGAATCACATCATGTTTACTTTCGTCGTGAAAGTCCCAAATTGAATAAAAATACAGTTTTGACGGGCTTCGAGCATACAAATACAAAGATAAAAAACAAACTAAAAAAGTTGTCTCCACCTTTTTGGAACGGAGGAAGTATTGCATACATGAATGTCTGGATAATTTCTTTCCAGACATGCTTTCGTTAAATGCAAGATACACACAAAATTTGTCCATGGCGGACACAAAACTCTGTCCAGTGGGTTCTGTGGTAATAAAAAACTTCAAATACGCAAGATCAAAGCCTTCAGACTGAAGAAAACTCATGAGGCGCTGATCTGTGAAAAGCTGTCCAAGCTTTAAGACAGTCTGGTGCAGCCAAACGACTGGATATATTTGTTACTGTTACTATTATTTGATGAATACCCACAGTAGTACAACACTATATGACCCATGGATATGACGTCAGTTAAGCGTAAAGGTGTTTGGAGAGATGGGCAGCTGCAGCAGTTAAAGGCTGTCATCCCCTGGAGTTGTTCGGTCTTACCAACGCATCGACGCGCTTTAAGCAGAGACTGATAAGAATAACGTGAGCTCACAATGTATGCGTATAATGGTAGGTAAACGACTTTCCAAGAAACTGAGCTAAGATACAGTACAGTACTGTACCAGTACGTAAACTCACCACATCACTACTAAAGTGGCAGCATTGCTCCAAATTCCTACAGTTTTTAACGACTCGTAAACAAGATATCGATCGGCGACTTCGACCAAATTACGGTAGTTGACGCCACCGTAGCTCAAAAGGCATTCAAGGGTTGGAGGTGGCTTTGTGATCTGATTTTGATCGCAAAGCATCCTCTGAGTGTTAGTTAGTTACCTCCTTAGCAACGAAAATGTCACCTATGATTGAAAAAACGTGTTCTGTCATTCTGCTTTGAACTATAATAAGAACGTTATACTCGTGGTGAAGCCTCAATCAGCATGTACAGTACAACATGTATGTCGGCCATGCTCATCGATTCTTCATATTGGACGGTCGGCCTGAGTTTACTCTCGCCGTACCGGTACTGCATAGAGTAACCCGGAACTCCAGAACCCTGAAACCCCGTATTCAGCGCTTCCATCCAAACCCAAATGGTCAATGTCGAGCGCCATGCACACACTACTGTATATGTGCAGTTACTAGTATGCCTTTACAGTAACTACATACAGTAATACTCTGGACTACTACGTAGTACTCCCGGTAGGAGTAACAAGGTACTATATATAACATTCATCCTGCTCACCACAAGATATTTGGTCAGCGTGGAAACTCCATTGGAACAACCCCTGCAGTGAATACAGGTCGTACGTATATATATACTACTGTAACGTTAGTATAGACGATGAAGAAATTAGACTTCTTACCCCGAAGTCACCACCGACACAGACGACAGCGAAGATGGCATGAAAGAAGTGATCCTAGGCAACAACTTGGACCTAACCCAGCAAGACTCCGGGGAGGAGTCACTTAACATCAATACCGCTCAGCATGCAAGCAATGTGCCAGTGCGTGAAAACAAGTGTTCGTAGACCAGGGCTAGTCTGCGAACATTCCCGTCCACGCTTTTTAAATTATGAACGCAAATACGACTCCTGATTGACTAAAACGTGAATTTTTCCGGATAACACAACCTCAAAAGCAGGGGAGTGTTTGCACGTTTTCGATAGAAATTAAGAAATATTTTTGATATATTTTCAAATCCTCGAAAATAGTTCGGATAACATCCCTGCCTTACTGTTAAAGCTTGGATGGTTTTTAACAGACCAGCCCCTAAATGCATTCACAGCCGTAGCTCTAGCTCTCTTCAAGTTTCCGGGGAGAAGGCCAACTAACCCCATCTATTCGTCGACAATACGCAAATATGGAAATGATATCGATTGAGTATCTTCTTCCTTCTAACGTACTTCAAGTAGATGGCCAGTTTATGGTTTTCGGGGTTTCGGGGTTGGGACAGTTTAAGGTGCACTCAAAATGGCCAATGGAATTGCTTGAGTTTTGGAACAGCCAATCGAATCACTAGAAACATGAAATCACCAAAAAATATGCAAAAAACAGCATACATATTTTAATGTAAGCTTGAACCGTACACATAAACCGTCCCTTTTATTTTGTCTTGACTTGAGTGGAAATCAAAATATTACTTCGAAATATTAACAGGATGAACCCTAACGTAAAGTTGAAGCGTAATTCACTGTCAAGCCGATTAACAGTAAATAATCAGAAGAATGTCCAACCTATCGGCTTATTGTAGCATGAAGTCTAAGCCGAAGACTATTCAAGCAGATTAAATAATCAGGAGAATTCGGCTTCGTGCAGCACGTTTCAGAATTGAAATCGCAGTCTGAGACGCGAGGAAGGTGCATTCTACGACGAGGTACCTTCAAGTGCACCACAAACCGATGCGAGTTACATCCCTACCCTATCAATTCGGATTGGTTGAAAGGCAAGAAAATGTACTGTTTTACTGGTCGATCCTCAATGAATGAATTTTCATTGGACATAACTACGCATACAAAGATCAAGTTTGGTTGGAGTAACGGTGATATTCACCCGTATCACACAATCCACGATTTCCCTTCCACGGATGACGGACAAGCAACAGCGCCTCCATCAAAAGTACAACAAGACGGCTCCCTGGGCATACCTGGACCCTGGAAACCAGAACATCCCACTGGCCGCTCGCGACGCGCATCTCCGTCCGCCACCTCCACGCATTTCCAAGGACCGCGACATCTTCATCGGCATCTCTACCTACCGCGACAGTCGTCGCTGTGGCTTCACGTTGTTCACGGCGTTCTCCCGAGCCAAGCACCCGGAGCGGGTCACCATTGGTGTCGTCGATCAAACCCAAGACGACGACACGACCTGCCTCGAGGAGTACTGCAAGCTGGCCGAAGCGTCCGACTGGAACGAGTGCAAATTCAAATCCCAAGTTCGAATCGACGCCCGGGACTCCCGGGCATCGAAAGGCCCGACGCTGGCGAGATGGCAGCAACAGCAGCTGATTGAAAACGAGGAGTTTTGCCTCAACATTGACGCGCACAGCCAGTTCCTGCCCAACTGGGACGTGGAAATCGTCGACGAGTGGCTGCGCACAGAGAACGAGATGGCCGTCTTGACCACGTACCCCATGGACTATTCCTTCATGGGCCCTAACCTGACCCACCAAAGCCACTACAGCTCCCACCTGTGCAACTACCTGGACCGAAAGTCTGCCTTTGACGTGCCCATCATTCGAGGCATGATGCTGATCGACAACAGCGAAGCACCCCAAATGTCCACTTTGTGGGGCGGCTGCTTGTCCTTCAGCAAGTGCCATGCCGAGCGCCGCGCCCCCAATGACAAGCACATGAACTGGGTGTTCTGGGGCGAGGAATACCTCCGCAGCATGCAGCTGTGGACCCGCGGCTACGACCTGTACTCGCCATCTAGACATGGGCATGTGGTGTTTCACAACTGGTCGGATGACAAGGGCTTGAAGAAGCGGTTCTGGGACAACGTAACCCAAGTCATGACGAAAGCACAACATGACAAGGAAGAACAGCTCGCGTACAATCGACTGCGCATGGTGCTGACGTTGCCCTTTGACGGCCCCGTCGACGCCCAAGAAATAGACAAGTACCACGGCGGCAAAGTGCGGTCTATCGAGCAATTTCTCAAGTTTTCAGGCATTTCCAACGTCGATTCCAAACTCGATGAGTTTCGATGTGAGCAACTCCACTGGGTGCCATATGCCGTGCCAGAAATCATCGAAGAGTTTTTGCCTGGCTGGGTCATGCGTGATGGTCGGTTGAGTGAAAACAATGCTCGAGTAGATAATAGGGCGGTGGTGAATGAGACGTGGCGTCGAATGGAGAAGGAACTGTTGCTACGTGTGCAGCAGAAGTTGGATACGATGACGAAACCCATCGCAGAAACATCGCTGTTGGTGCGTACGATGCAGCACCGACTCAGTGTATGGAGCAGACCCCACGAAGGCCTGTGGCCATTGGCGCTGGTGTGGCTGGGTCTGATATCTGTGTGGCTGGTGTACAAGGGCAGACGAGGGGCGACGTCGTACGCCGCTGTGCCCACAACCGACGCGTAGTTAGTTGGCCTGTTGAAGGATGTGATCGCGTTAGATACATGGATGACTACTGTTATATATACACCTTGTTTTGGAGTGGCTACGGTGGTGCTACCCAGTGTATCGTTTTTTTTCAATGTAAATTGTAGCCACATATTGTGCTTTCGAGTGAAATTTCGTGTTGTGGCGTGGTTTCTCGTTGGAATTTAAATCGATTTGATTGGCTACCTCAGATGAGCGGAAAATTATTAGCCAATCAAAACCTTCTCAATGAAATTCAACCAATCAGATCGATCGTGGATCGGTTTGGTCGGGCGCGATTCGATTGCACCCCCTCCCCAAAATTGTATCAAATCGACAATAAATACTGTATGTGCCTTTGAAGCGGATACTTAAGCAGCGCCGTGTCAATAAAACGAGTGAACTCGTTTGGTTGTAGTTCCCACTCACTCACAACACACAAAATGTGTTGTGAATGAAGTGATCCAAGTGGGTTATAACACGATCACCAGAGTCGCCGTGCAGGTTGTCGAAATAAGCATCAAGCGCCGCCTCATTCGGCAACGTGTTGGCTCGTCGGTGTTTCTCGTCATATGCCGTGGGTATTCGAAGTGTACTTCGTTCATCGCTTAGCTTTCGTCGCGCAGTCTTTCATCGGGTTTGGATGGAGCCGCCGCATTCACCCCAATTGCTTCCGATCGTTGCGATATTTGCGGTTCACATGGTTCTTTATCGTCTAGCTTGACTTCGATACGTTGCAACACGAGCTTCAAGTCCCGTGTCTGAGACGCATGGTCAATTCGTTGGCGTTCATACTAGTGTACCGGTAGTACAAGAAGCCAATATCAACGCACATACCAATAAACGTACGCGTGCTTTTCCAGTAACCCTTACCGGTAGTTTTAGTTAACTCCAAGGTAGTACTGAAGGATAAAATTTCGCTTCAGTTGCCCATTTGTTCTCCAAGTTGGAATGGACCAGCTAGCGGACCATTGTTGTTGGCATGTGCCGTCGCGTTGGTGTAGATATGTAGCTGACAGGCAACGATTCCTTGTTGGAGGCGGCCTATTTCGCTCGTATAGCCTTACTATTATACTCGAGTATTAATAAGATCACGCAATCCGGCCGATTGTTACAGTAACTGTACCTTGTCACATATTAGTATCCCCTGGCAAAAAGGTAGAAAAAAAAGGATAAAAAAGGGCGACAAATGATTGGTTTGAATCTGACCAATTAGAGATATCAAAAGTACAAAATCCGAAAGGTCACTTTTGGCCAGCATGTCGAAGGCCGTGAAGAAGGACGATGTGACTGTGGGTGCGTTGCGCATTTTCCACAGGGACAGCTCCAAGGAAATGGAGGAGTTCATCGTCAACAGCGCCACCAATGCACTCAAGGCGTACTACAAAGGCGACAAGAACCACTTCACAGAAGTCGCCCACCAGATCAAGAAGGACTTGGAAGAGTCCAACGACGGCAGCTGGCACGTGATTGTCGGCAAGTCGTTTGGGTCGTTCGTTACCCACGAAGTCAAAAAGTACGTTCATATAAACAATGCTGCACCGACTCATGCCTTTTGTGTACGTAGAATGGTCTACTTCTTCCTAGGGCAAGTTGGGTTTCTCATTTTTCGTCACGGTTAACTTCCCCTGACTAAAACATTTTCAAATTCTCCATTGCGTCAGGAACCCCGCATACCACAACCTACCGATAGACATATGCAAATCCATTACGTAGCCTGTCTATCGCAAACCAATCTTCATCGCAATGAATCGACGTCAAAAGTCTGCCGATTAATATCGACATTGCAACAGTCTTTACAGTAAGTGTGTACCCGCGGCCGATACTATAAGTCGTTTTTGTCATAACGTAGATGGCCAATTTATGGTGCACTTGAAAGAGATCTCGTCGTATACGTATAGAATGCAGCTTACTCGTCTATCAGGACCGGGATTTCAATTCTGAAAAGTGCTGCACGAAGCCGAAAGGTTGGGAATTCTCCTGATTATTTATCGGCTTGAATAGACTTCAGCTTAGCCTTCATTTAACGTAAACGGCCAATTATTGCCCTCATTTTGAACCCTTAGCTTTTTGGCCATATCTCATGATGAAATGAAAATTGAAAAAATCTGAAGTTATACAGTTTTAGAGGAAATGATGCTCCAACCAATAATTCAAATAATTTGGAATTTGGGGTATTTTTAGCGAAGGTATGATCCAACAAACGCAAAAGTTTTGAAATGTAGATTTGATTAACTGTAAGTATTTACACAGTCAATCGGAATGTGAGTAGACAGTTGGACATGCATTTTTAAATTAGATTCTGTTAAGGTATCTTTTTGTTTGTATACAATTAAATAAATAGATGATGCAAAATGAAAAAGGGCAACAATTGGTCCGGGGACAATAATTGGCCGTTTCTTCGATTTCCACTCATGTCAAGGCAAAATAGGATGGACGGTTATGGTACACGCTTTAAGCTTTAAATATGTATGCTGTGTTTTGCATATTGTTTGGTGATTTCATTTTCTAGTGATTCGATTGGCTATTACAAAACTCAAGCTATTCCATTGGCCAATTTGAATGCACCACTGTCCAGTAAAATGGCCATCTACATTAATAATAGCATCCGACCTAACACCACGTTTTCCATCACCCCTTGTCACAGTTTGAATGAACTTTCGTTCATTTTCAAGGCACCATATATATATATATATCCACCATTATCTACATCGTCGTGAGTAGTAGTAATCGTAGAAGACTATGTTATTTGCGCTCCTTCGTCATTTTTCGATCTCTCTCTCTGCAGGCCAAACCAAGTGCATCTACGCGTACACTTTCAACGATCGGTCGAGGGATGTGGACACGACAAACGCCAGTTGATGCGCCAGCTTGACGTCGGTCACTTGCCCCTTGTGGTTTTCAAACGTCTGAACGATGTCCCAGTTCTTCTTGCCGCTTTCTTGGTACAGCGCGACCTTGTCCGTGGCCACCCCCAGCACCGTGCCGCCCACTTCCAAGTGCACGGCGTGGACTGGCGCATGGACATTCAGCTCCAGCACGGTCTTGAGCTTACGGAGATCCCAAAACTTGACGAGGCCGTCGCTGCCGCCTGAGACAAGGTGGTATCCGTTTTCAGAAAACCAGATCGAGTTGACGGTCCCCGTGTGCCCTTCAAAGGTCGCGACGTTCTTGGTTGTGGCCACGTCCCAGATGCGGACAGTCGAGTCTGCCGTGGCGAAGATGGCGCCGTCGGGGTGGAATTGGAAGTCCAGCAACGCCTTGGCCTCGGGGGCGCGCACGTTCTGGAGCAACGAGCCCGTGCCTAGATCGTGCAAAGTCCACGACGAGTCGTCCGACGAAGAGCCCAAGTACGACCCCGTGGGATGCACCGCGAGACCCGTGACGGCGCCGACATGGCCGGTCAACGTGTGCGCCACCTCGTATGTCGGCGCCGTCCACAGCTTGATGGATTTGTCGGCGGAACCGGTGATCACGATGTCCGCGGTCGGGTGGAACAGCACCTTTTGCACCTTCTTGGCATGCCCGGCCAACGTGTGTTCGATTTTGCCCGTCGATGTGTTGAAGATCTACAGCCACATGGGACATTAGACATGACAGGATATCGTCCAGTGGAGGAAAGTAGTACCTTGGCGTGCCGGTCGTTGCCGCCTGTCACGACACGCTCGCCCTTGATGTCGACGGTCAATATGCCCGGCTTGTCGGCTTGGTGAAACGTTTGACTTGTCGTGACTTGCAGGGACGCGGGAGTCTTCACCAGCTCTTCCACGTGACGTTCCTTCTTGCGGTAATGCGCCAACTCCTTGGCACGCGAGGCCACGGCGGCGGTCACATGCACCCAGGGGTCATCACTCGTGCCATTCGACGACGATGCCGATTGCTTGAGAGCCTCGATATCACGGTTCAGGCGGGAAATGACTCGGCACGCGGCATCGTACTGGTACAACGCATGGGACAACTCCCGTCTGCATCCATCGTTATCAAGGAATCATTGGCGGACAAGAGGGACGAACCTGGTGGTCTGTAAATGCTGCTTGAGCTCAAACATCTCCAGCGCATGCGCGTCGTACTCTGTCTGAAGGGAGGAAAGCAAGGACGGAATGGAGGCGGTGACCTTAGACGGCGGAGCCGCGCCGGTCGCCACCGTCGAGAGTTTGAGAGGGATGAGGTCTTCCGGTGCCAAGAGGGTTTCTGACAACGGGCATAGGTTCCCATGTGTTTTCAGGTACTCCTCGATCAATCTCTTCTCATATACATGGCCCGACTTGATGTTCACCACGGGAACTTCACACACAGCGCCGCTCAGTCCACACAGCATGATCACTTTGATGTACCGTCTTCGACTTAACCACCCAAATCTCAAGGGGTTCGAAATTTTATGTCACCAGAGCCGCTGATTGGCAAACCTCTTGCAAACGATACCTCTGGTATTCGATACATTGGGCCTCTTACATTAGATACCTCTAAATTTAAATTCAAAATTTTAGACGATTTTCATTCCGTACGCCGCACGGGATCAACGAGCTGATCGCTAGGCTGTCCACCATGTTCGCCGTCGAGACCGTCGAGCAGGAGGCTGACGACAACTTGAAGTACTGAATATTCATTTTTCATAAATACATACTTACTATCTGCCTCGTGTTCGTCAGACTTTTACTGGTATTTTCAAGAAAAAGAAAAATACGACATAAATCCACAATCAACTCAAAATTAATTCCGAAATGCCCTGTCGGGGAAAATCAACGCCTCAATGTATCGTCGTTCAAACTGCCGTGGTGTGGCGTTAGTGATCGATTTGTTCGACTGCAATCGATTCTTCGCCAAATATTCCATTGCTCGCTTTAGGACTAAGCCGTGGTTGTCGTATAAGCTCCTTTGGTGCTTCAATTCGTGCCGAATGGCTTGTTCGAATCCGATTTGTCGACGCCCATCTTCACTATACTTGCGTTGGATATCGTCAACGAATCCAAGACACTCGTCGAGGTTATCTTGACCAAGTGCGGTTCCTTTTGCAAGGTCATCAGGGGTTACCGCCGCCTACATATCACCCTTGGCTCCCAATTGCTCTCCAAATTTCTCTCGAGAAGCTACTGGGCCATTGTTGTTGGCATATGTCGTTGGTGTGGGCGTATAACTGACAGGAAACGTTTCTGTGAGAAGAATTTCCGCGTAGTTAGGTGTCGAAATATATCCCCACAATTCGATGCGATCATCACAGTCTAAGCAGCAGGTGTTTCATTGATTGGTCTACCTTGGTCATCCACCAGCTGAAACGACGCGGTTCACAAGCGCCCAATATGGGCTTCAACTATTAATAGAAACCTTTTGACTTTTAGCTATATTTCCTTAAATCGCGCAGAAATATTTGATTGGCTAATTTCCACATCCAACAACTTACAGACTACAGCAATTAGGGCTGTAATAATTGTGGGCGGAACCAAGTCTAATGTTCTCGACGTCATCCATACGCAATTGGCGGATCTAACGCATAGCGCTACATAAACAATACAGTGCTGGCCAGTAGGATCCAGCCACCCCGTTTATCTGGGATTAATTTTGTCCAATAAAACGTAGAGACATGCAGAATACACCATTCTCTCCGTTTTAATTGGTTGTTTATTGGGTCCGCTACAACAGCTTGATCCGATAAAAACTGCACTTTATTTTGTCCAAAAACCATTTTGAGGGGTGGTATCTCCTTCAACAGTCTCGTTCGACGTGATCACATCCCGCTGCCTCAGAATTTTCATTTCAAGCGCAGTGTCCCATCGTGCGTTTGTATTCAAACAGAGTGATGCAATCGAACAGGCCTAACTTGGGGACACCAATGCGCACCGTTGAGGTAGGGTATGGGAAAAACATGTTTTACTAATTGACAGCGGTCTAAACAATTTAATATTTAATCTCAGCCATGTCGAGAGACAATAATATACTATTAATAGTACTACTGTAGTGATTGTTTTTAATTGTCAATTATTGAAATCATAATTGTATATTGTCGATTTTCTTCAAATTTCCCAATTTTGCATGGTTCGTTCAATCGAGCACAAATAGAGCCGAGGCATCTGATTGGTCATTATCCACTTCGCCCTTTCCAGCAGAAACTCGATAAATGGATTGTAGCCAATCAGCGACAAGTAATTTCGGATTGACCAATGGGAGAGATTGGTGCTCGATTTGCTCGGCGAGATTATATTGAACGGGGTCCGGAAAGTTTTCATCCTGAGACTACCGCTAGATTAACTGTAAAGTAAGGTAGTTTTACGGATGAGGCCATTCATAGTTTTACGGAAAGCAATGACGAATACTATTACTGTTAGTAACGAAATATACCTGGCGTTGTTGAATTCAAATCACGAAATATACAGTCCACGATACAGTACTAGTAGTATATATACATAGTGAGTGAATTCGACGTTCCCATGAAATCATATGCCGAAGACACGAAATATAATGAAGTTCCACGAATTTAAATGGTATTCCACGAAATATATACCAGTACCAGATATTTTTCGAAATTAACCGCAAAATAGTGTAACGTTACTACATACCGGTACAGTACGGGACGACCTCGGAACCTGACTACACTACTCGTGCTCCTACCACGACCACCACCGCCGCTCATGCGGCCATGGCACAACGCATCCAAACCCACGCCCACCCAACCTGCTATCACCCACCACTACCACCTCTATTCCAGTATTCACGCTCCTAACGACCAAAACCCCTATGCCCCAGTGACTACGATTGCTGCACATTTGACCACCAAATCACTCCATTTTACATGCAGTACACCATCACGACTAGCCAAGTCACATCGACTCGTGCCCTCCACAAAATCGACCGCCAACCGATTACGTTTCAAAGTACGGCAGCAATTGTTGATTGAACCATTTCATGCGGGAGTACCATCGGCGTGCAAGGAAGCGCTGGAAGATTGACGATGCTAAGAGGAATAAATAATTCACTAATTTCCCCATGCTACATGTTTATTTGTTGTCATTAGCTAGATCAACCGCCTCCCTTAGTAGTGTTATGCAGCGAGGTGCCGACGGCGTGTGCATTTTGAAAGGCATGACGTCTTTATGACGAAGGTGATTAATGGAAATGCGTTGGGCAAGCAGGTGTGCGAGCTGCCACTAACCCAATGGGCAAAGGTTGGTAATAATGACCACCAACTTGTCAATCGCATAAAATACCATAGAATCCTTTGTGCCTTGTCGACTACGCACCTCTCCGAGGTTAGGGATGAGAGACACAAGTATATCGTCAGCCTCAGTGTATTTATATCCAATGAAAATCATAACGTTCGTTGATCGAAGTGGACATACATGATGGGAGGCGAACGGCTCCTTCATGAAAGTTGCCCCGCACCATGGCCACTAACGCATTTTGGACGTCGGGCGATCAAGTGAACGTCATTGAATTGAAGGAAGCAGTACTGTACGCGGTGGTTGCTCCGTTTTTCGACGATGTGTTGTTTCCCACGCCAGTGCCAACACAAACAACCAAATGGGGGAGTGCAGACTCCCTGCAAACCGTACACTTGATTGACTTGATGTTACCACGGCGTTGCAGAACCAAGAGTGAGATTCTGGTAGTTGGCTGGGACAGGTGTTCTGTGTTCTACGCCCAAGTACTGCTAGTAATACTATGCCTGTTCGTGTCGGTTCGCCAAGGGTCGGCACCTGGTGGCCTCGGTTGAGGACCACCTGTGTCATGGCGGGACTTGGATTTAGTCGCCCACACAACACCCCCCCCAAGCCATGTCCCGCAGGACACACTTGGGCCTCGCGAATTCTTCGCCCTCGCTCGCATCATCGCCGGGTTTAAAGCCGTGAACAGCTCCATGGGCGACTTGCTCGCCAGTGATGCAGCCGGTGTTTGGTTGAGGTTGGTTTGGACCACTGGCAATAGGTAGTCCCATTCTTGTTCGGCTAGCTGGTACTCTCGCAACATGACCCGCATCACTTGGAGGATGTCGCGGTTCATCCGCTCAACCGTTCCATTGCGCCAGGGGCAGTAGGCCAAGGTTAGGTCATGATGGACCTTGAACTTGTGGGCTAGCGCCTTCATGACCACGTTTTTGAAATGGGTTCATTGGTCACTGACCCAGACTCGTGGCATTCCGAACCGCTTCGCCCAGTCGACCAGGGCATCCACACATACTTGGCTCGTGGGTCCATCGCATGCAATGCGTTCGCAGTAGTGGGTAAGGTCGTCTTTGAGTACCAGCACATACTTAGCGCCGCTGTACACTTCGCCCATGTAGAGGTAGTCGAAGTGGATTCCTTCGTTGCGCTCTTTCGCGTGCCATCTGGGAGCATACGGTCGATGGACCACCCTTCCCCCTTTTACATGAGGGCACAACAAGCAGCCACGGAGGAATTCACTGGCCCTGTCGGCCAAGTGGGCGACATAGAACAGGCGGCGGATAGTAGCCATCAGCGCTGCATGTCCACGGTGCCCGGCGCTGCCGCAGTGGGCAACGACCATGATCCGTTGGATCAGGTCATTCGCCGCACTCGGTATCCATAGCCGCTCGTCCACTTGTCACAGTGCGTTCACCACAGTATTTTGCTTTGGTTTGGTTTCGCCATGCTGGTTTTGTGCGTGACGGATGTCCATCACACATGGCCACACAAAGTCCTTGTCCAGCGGCCGAAGTTTTGGTTGTGCCGGTGGGGGGACTTTGCGTGTTTTGACTTTCTTTGACCAGCCATGGCCCCGACGTATTTTGACCCGCTTGGTCGCCAGACTTGGTTCGGCTGACCCCAACGGCTCATCATATCCGCCCAATGGTTGTGGATGCCGTCGATGTGTATGATTTCATAACGATAGCCGCCAATAATGGCAGCCCATCTCATGAGTTTGCCGCGTGTGTGCGCCTTCCATTCTTCGCCCGGGCAAATACATGGATGAGGTTCTTGTGGTCACAGTACATCTTGAACCCCGGAGGTCGCATAAGCATGTAATTGAGTTTCTCGCACGCACGCGCAATATGGTAGGCCTTCTTTTCGATGACTGACCACGCCTTCTGGGCGCCCGCAAACATCCCCGACTGACACAAGAGCAATTCGTGACGTTGTTCTTGGTCTGGGCTGTCATCATCGAATGCCACCACTTGAGTTACCACAATCGACCATCCATGATCGCTCGCATCCGTAAAGAAACACATCTTGGCGTCATCACGCGGGTGAGACAGTTCCACTGATGATCGTAGCTTGGACTTCACGGCATCAAACGCTAGCTTCTCGCCGTCGGTCAGTTCCAACTGAACACCAGACGCGATCCGCTTCTTCTTGCCCCTGCTCTGTCATCGAGTCCCACAGCCAGTTCACGGCGCACACAAACTGCTGCAATT